GTGCTCTTGCTTGCTTGCTTGCTTGCAGAGTGTTTTTCCTTGGCTGACACAAGGCTAGAGTCACGATTCTGGATGTTTCTTTAGAGAACACTTGTTTTTTGTTCTGTGTTACAAACGATCCATTATAGAAAGCATCATGTTGTTTGTGTCTCAGGGAGACCCATAGCAATTGGCCAAACACTGGAGTATGTCCCTTGGAGGTTTTTTTTTTTTAGAGGATGCAATTAAAAGCAGAATTGTTGCCCCCTTAAGTTTGCATCAGTGTATGGCATTGGCCAATACCTGGCTGCTGACCACTAAGTAACTTTTGGACTATGTCCGGATGTTTTCCAGTCAAGGTCCCAAGAATGAGCAGATGGCATAGCTGGCATTTGGATACAGCAGAGGAGTTTGTGTTGAATTGGCCTAGTATTGTATTTTATACTTACGCAGGGCAAATCATGGAGCCTGCTGCCAAGAAATCAGAAGAAGGCAGAGACTCCGAATGGCCGCTTTGAAGGAGCTGGAACAGATCTTTGGGAATAGACATATCACTAGAAAGAAATTAATATCATTTATATTATGGCATTCCCTACTACTGTATATGGATGTGAATGCTGGACAACAGGGACAGCTGGCAAGGGAAGAAATCAATTGATTTGAAGTATGGTGCTGAAGGAGAGCTTTGTGGATACCCTCGACCACCAGAAAGATGAACAAATGTAGGTCAATTGAGTCCTAAACTCTCCGTAGAAGGAAAAAAGATGAAACCCAAGCTGTCCTACTTTGGTCACACAACGAGAAGAAAAAGATAATAATGCTGGGAAAAGTTGAAGCCAGCAGGAAGAAAGGAAGACCAAGCATGAGATGGATTGACCCATTAAGGTTTCGTTTGCAAGACCTGACTGGGTGATTAATGATATGATCTTCTGAAGGCCACTGCATCTTCAAGTTTCAATAAATTGGAAGTGTTTTGATGGCACATAGTAACAGCATCATCCCTAGTTCTTGGGTTGCCAGCTGGTCACAGCGGCTGGTTCGGTGTTTCCATGCCCCTCTGCCCCTCCTGTGTCAAAAGAGGCAGCTGGCCTGAGCAATCATAACCTGCACGTCCTGTACCTAGAGGCTGTGCGTGAAACCCTTCCTACAGTGTTCTGTTCAAGCTCTTCGGTCTGAATTCTCCTAGTTATAGCAGCTTGCTTTCCTGTCGCTCACAGACTGGCCTGGTGGCTGGCCTTACAGTCCCAGCAAACCTGTCCCCTTCGGGCACAGGAGGACCTCAAGGTGCCGGGTCAGCCTTTGGGGAGCTTCGTGGCTTCAGCCTGGCAGCTGAAGATGGGGCTCTCCCAAGATGGCAGGAGCCAGTGCCAAGTCCTGAGGGCAACTCGACAGCCTCTCTGCTCTTGGTCACAGCTCTGTAACCTCTCTTTTAGACCCCTGAGTAAAGGCAAGTTCTAACGTGTTTGTGGCATGGTGGATTTGTGGTCTTTTATGGCTATATAACCGCCCAGAGTAGACACGTTCTAGATGGGCAGTATATAAATCTAATAAATAAATAAATAAATAAATAAATATTTCTGCTTTTGAAGACTGTTTTTATTTAAAAGAAAAATAATTACTCTCAGAGACTCCAAAGTCAAGGATCTCCAAAATGGATCTCAAACTACAGTACAGTACCCATATGATATGGTTAAAGAGGAAATTAACTGGGCAAGAGGAATACCCAGAAGCAACCCACTGCAAAACAAACCCAGAAGAGGAAATGACCGAACACCATTTGTCCTTGCTTTCAGCCCACAACTGAGACCACCCACAAGTCATGAATGATCTCCAGCCCATTCATTCTTGACAAGAACATTTCACTCTCACAAGCAATTGGTGGCAGGTCTATATTTGCTTACAAATAGCCTCACAATCTCAGGCAATAATTGACGCACAGTAAGTTATACCACACTGATACAACCATGGGGACGATGCCCTGTTACAAATCCGTATGCCAGCTCTACCCCCAAATTTACTCATTTAATATGTGATCACTATTAATCAGCATCTTAAAAAGCAGAGACCTCACCTTGCTGACAAAAGTACGCATAGTCAAAGCTATGTTTTTTCCTATAGTGACGTATGGAAGTGAGAGCTGGACCATAAAGAAGGAATAGTATCTGATTTATGTCCATTAATTCCTTTCCATAGAGACTGTCCTGTTTGTCCTCTGTACAGTGCAAATGGGTGCTGTTGGCAAAAAAACAAAACAGAAAAACACAGATTGAAAACAAGGTTCTTCTTACCCCAGTGGGTAGAAAGGCATAAACAGAAATGACACTAGGCCTCTTGCAAATATATTAATGGAAGAATTTATTTAAATTGCAGCAGGTAATCAGGGAATAGGATTCATGAAATGGAGGCACACTATAAAAGAAATAAAAGCAAACTCAAAGAATTTCTAACACAATACAATATTTATTTATTTATTTATTTATTCATTCATTCATTCATTCATTCATTCATTCATTCATTCATTCATTCATTCATTCATTCATTCGATTTATATCCCGCCCATCTGGTATATTCTACCACTCTGGGCGGCTTACAGAATAATTACAGAATAATAACAATAATGGAATGAAAAGTATAAAGCAGAACAACCTGTATTAAAGTATCAGATGAAATTACAGTTATCCAAAATCAGCCACAATTAGACCTTTATGAAGCATTATATTTGCCCCTAACCTTCCACCAGCCCCCCCTCTGTGTGTGTACACACACACAACCTCCCAGAATTAGTCTACCCCATTGTAAACACTGAAGCTTCTCTCAAAATCAAGGCAACCGAAGGTCCCAGAGCACTCAAAATCAGCAAAATTACAGTTACATGAGGAAAAGTGAACTGAGAAGCATCTGCATGTGAGAGATGAAAGTCTGTGCTCCTGAGTCCGAGTCGCAAGCGACAATTGTTTCTTGCTCCACTGATGTCCCTAATTCTCTTGCATTCTCTGGGAGAACAAGTGCACGGTGCTTTTTTCCCTTTATTCCCAGAAAGTGAATCACCCCCTTTGTCCTGTAGTACATGATGTGACCATAGAGCACTGTAACAGGGTATGCTCTGGGCCTGGTATCCAATTTTGTAGCCTGGCCATACTGTTCCATTGTCTTCCAGCTTGGCCAGACTCTTGTTGCCACAGCAATCACATATCAGCCTTTCTTGCTCAATCCATCATGCATAGCTTCAGGCTGGAAGGCATCCTCAGCAAACCAAAAGATTTCCTCAGTGCCTTTCCATAGGCAGGTCATTCCATAGGCCACATGTCCATAGGCTAGTTCAGTCCATATGGCCACATGCCTTTTGTCCAGTGTACCCTTGTACCATAAATGTTGTTGTTGTTTAGTGGGATCTGAAGGCCTTAGGAATGGACCTCGACAGATGGGAAACCTTGACGTCTTGAGCGTCCAACTTGGAGGCAGGCGGTGCATCACGGCCTCTCCCAATTTGAAGAGACACTTGTACAGCAGGCCGAGGCAAAGAGGCCGTCCAGAAACAAGCAAAACCAGGGAGCTGGACGGGGACAGATTAGATTTGTCTTCAGTGTGGAAGAGATTGTCACTCTCGAATTGGCCTTCTCAGCCACACTAGATGCTGTTCCAAAACCTCCGTACAGAGCACGTTACCATAGTCTCTTGAGACTGAAGGATGCCTACATGGGGGGATGTTTAGTCCTTAAGTCATGTCCGACTCTTCATGACCCCATGGACCAGAGCATGCCAGGCCCTCCTGCCTTCCACTGCCTCCTGGAGTTGGGTCAAAGTCATCTTGGTCGCTTCAGTGACCCTCTCCAGCCATCTTGTCCTCCATCATCCCCTTCTCCTCTTGCCCTCACACTTTCCCAACATCAGGGTCTTTTCCAGGGAGTCTTCTCTTCTCATGAGACGGCCAAAGTACTGGAGCCTCAGCTTCAGGATCTGTATTGTCAGTGAGCACTCAGGGTTGATTTCCTTCAGAATGGATAGGTTTGATCTCCAGCACCACAATTCAAAAGCATCAATTCTTCGGCTGTCAGCCTTCTTTATGGTCCAGCTCTCACTTCCATAAATTTCTACTGGAAAAACCATAGCTTTGACTATGTGGACCTTTGTCGGTAAAGTGATGTCTCTGCTTTTTAAGATGATGTCTAGGTTTGCCATTGCTTTCCTCCCAAGAAGCAGGCGTCTTTTAATTATGTGGCTGCTGCCACCATCTGCAGTGATCATGCAGCCCAAGAAAGTAAAATCTGTCACTGCCTCCATATCTTCCCCTTCTATTTGCAGGAGATGATGGGACCAGTGGCCATGGTCTTAGTTTTTTTGTGCTCTCCTCTTTCACCGTCATTAAGAGGTTCTTTAATTCCTCCTCACTTTCTGTCATCAGAGTGGTAACATCTGCATCTCGGAGGTTATTGGTATTTCTTCTGGCAATCTTAATTCCAGGTTAAGATTTCTCCAGTCCTGCCTTTCGCATGATATATGCGAAAGTATATACTGTATACAGTACAGTATATAGAAGTTAAATAAGCAGGGAGACAATATACAGTCTTGTTGTACTCCTTTCCCAATTTTGAACCAATCAGTGTTTCCATATCCAGTTCTAACTGTTGCTTCCTGTCCCACATATAGGTTTCTCAGGAGACAGATAAGGTGATCAGGCACTCCCATTTCTTTAAGGACTCGCCATAGTTTGCTGTGGTCCAAACAGTCAAAGGCTTTTGCGTAGTCAATGAAGCAGAAGTGGATGTTTTTCTGGAACTCTCTGGCTTTCTCCATAATCCAGCGCAAGTTAGCAATTTGGTCTCTAGTTCCTCTGCCTCTTCGGAATCCAGCTTGTACTTCTGGGAGTTCTTGGTGCACGTACTGCTGAAACCTACCTTGGAGGATTTTGAGCATAACCTTGCTAGCGTGTGAAATGAGAGCAAGGATACATAATAATAAGCTACAGGAAACCATACCTTGGCTGAATATTAGGAAAAACTTCTTAACTGTTAGAGCAGTACATGAACTTGGGAGGAGGTGAGTGCTCCAACACTTCAAGAGAAACTTAAACAACCACCTGGCAGATATCCTTTGATTTGTATTCCAGCCTGGAGCAGGATTTGATCGTTTCATAAGCCCCTTCCAACTCCTTTATTCCATGATTCTATGAAAGAAAATGAGACTTCAGTTCTGTGGGAGATAAGTTCAGCCTGCTCTTTCCCCTTCCTTGAGACTCTGAGGATGTAAGAATCCCCAAACCACCATTTCAGTGGCTTGGCTGCCTAGCTGTGATCACACTGTCGCCTGCCCGCCTTCTTTGGATTCTGACAAAAAATGTCCCCGTATCTTCCACGGGTAATCTATGTTATCTTCCACGTTTAAACCCGGCTCAGGGGCCTCTGACCCTGGACTGCTGCAGAGCCCAGATGTTTCTGGGCGTTTGAGTGGATCTGGCAGTGGCGCTGCCCCCTCCCCAGAAGGACTGGCCCACAGGAGCCACAGTGAAGCCTCTGCCCAGCCCAGGCGGTGGCTCTGGTCGAGGGGCTGGCGACGCGGCTGGCGCTCCCTCCAGCAACGCGCCTGGTGGCCCTTTGGGAACGGCGTGTGCTGACTCCCACCGAGCTCAAATATTTACACCCCCCCTCCGGGGTCAAGGGTCCCTTTCTTCTTCTTCTTCTTCATGCCCGGAATGAGCAGAAGCGGGGGGGGGGCAGAGATTCCTGGCAGTTGCACCCATAGCTTTGGGGAAGGGGAGGGGGAAGGCACACCGCTCAGGGGCTGCCCCAAAGGGTCCCTCAGCCGAATGGGTGGGATCCCCTGCCCTCGCAGGGGATGCAGCGAGGCTTGCAGGGCTGCGCCCCGCCTGTCCTGCCCTCTCCGTCGGTCCCTCCGGGAAAGGTCGCGGCCGCCAGCAGCCGCCGGTC